AATAATAATCATAATAATAATAATAATCATAACTATTTATAAAGCGCTTTCAGGCAAAGTGCTGAACAGTAGCAAGAGATAAAAACACAACAACAAATCAAATGAAATAAAATAAAGTACAACATTAAAACACATAAGATGAAGTGAACAAGTGAATCTTTCACTTTGCTTTAAAAACCTCCACAGAACAGGCCTGCCTGATGTACTGAGGGAGACTGTTCCACAGAGAAGGGGCACGAAAGGAGAAGGCACGTTCGCCAATAGTTTTTCTTCTGGCTTTTGTAATTAATAAAAGGCCAGTTCCTTCAGATCTAAGAGAACGAGGTGGAACATAAGGGTGCAGGTCAGTGAGATATGGGGGCACCAGACCATTTAAAGCCTTGTAGGTGAGCAGCAAGACCATAAAATCAGCTCGAACCTGAGAAGGCAACCAGTGAAGAGATGACAACACAGGGTAATGTGGTCTTATTTCCTAGTATTAGTTAAAATGAAAAGATAAAAGATAATGTTGTGGCGGCAACCCTTGAACCCGCTGGTGGACACCGGGGGTGAGGGATGCTGTCAGGCTGAAGGAGTTCTATCGGGTCTTTTTGGCCTGTGGGACTCCGGAAGCAGCCGACAGGTATCGGCAGTCCAAGCGGATTGCGGCTCGGGTGGTCGCTGAGGCAAAAACGCGGGCGTGGGCGGAGTACGGAGAGGCCATGGAAAAAGACTTCCGTACGGCTTCAAGGCGATTCTGGTCCACCATCCGGCGTCTCAGGGTGGGAAAGCGGTTCGCCACCAACACTATTTATGGTGGGGATGGTGCGCTGCTGACCTCAACTCGGGACATTGTGGGTCGGTGGGCAGAATACTTCGAGTACCTCCTCAATCCTACCAACATGTCTTCCCATGAGGAAGCAGAGCCTGAGGACCCTGGGTCGGACTCTCCAATCTCTGGTGCCGAGGTCACTGAGGTCGTTAAAAATCTCCTCGGTGGCAGGGCGCCGGGGGTGGATGAGATTCGCCCAGAGTTCCTTAAGGCTCTGGATGTTGTGGGATTGCATTGGTTGACGCGACTCTACAATACTGCGTGGACATCGGGGGCAGTTCCCCTGGATTGGTGGTGGTCCCCACATTTAAAAAGGGGAACCACAGATTGTGTTCCAATTATAGGGGGATCACACTTCTGAGCCTCCCTGGTAAGGTCTATTRAGGGGTTCTGGAGAGGAGGGTCCGTTGGATAGTTGAATCTCAGATTCAGGAAGAGCAGTGTGTTTTTCGTCCTGGTCTTGGAACAGTGGACCAGTACTACACCCTCAGCAGTGTCCTGGAGGGTGCATGGGAGTTCGCCCAACCAGTCTACATGTGTTTTGTGGACTTGGAGAAGGCGTTCGACCGTGTCCCTCGGGGACTCCCGTGGGGGGTACTCCGGGAGTATGGGGTACTAGGCCCATTAATACGGGCTGTTAGGTCCCTGTATGACCAGTGCCAGAGCTTGGTCCGCATTGCCGGTTGTAAGTTGGACTCGTTTCCTGTGAGGGTTGGACTCCGCCAAGGTTTCCCTTTGTCACRGATTCTGTTCKTAACTTTTATGGACAGAATTTCTAGGCACAGCCAAGGTGTTGAGGGGATCCTATTTGGTGACTTCAGGATCACATGTCTACTTTATGCGGATGATGTGGTCCTATTGGCTTCATCAGATCGTGATCTCCAGCTCTCACTGGAGCGGTTTGCAGCCCAGTGTGAAGCGGCCGGGATGAGGATCAGTGCCTCCAAATCCGAGACCATGGTCTTGAGCCGGAAACCGGTGGCTTGCCGTCTCCGGGTCGGGGAGGAGGTCCTGCCCCAAGTGGAGGAGTTCAAGTATCTTGGGGTCTTGTTCACTAATGAGGGAAGAATGGAGCGGGAGATTGACAGGCGGATTCGTGTTGCGTCTGCAGTGATGCGAGCGTTGTACCGGTCTGTCATGGTGAAGCGGGAGCTGAGCCAGAAGGCAAAGCTCTCAGTTTACCGGTCGGTCTACGTTCCTACCCTCATCTATGGTCACGGACTTTGTGTAGTGACCAAAAGAACAAGATTGCGGATACAAGTGGCTGAAATGAGTTTCCTCCGCAGGGTGTCTGGGCTCTCCCTTAGAGATAGGGTAAGAAGCTCAGTCATCCAGAAGGGACTCAAAGTAGAGCTGCTGCTCCTCCATGTTGAGAGGAGCCAGTTGAGGTGGCTCGGGCATCTGGTTAGGATGCCTCCTGGACGCCTCCCTGGTGAGGTGTTCTGGGCATGTCCCACTGGGAGGAGACCCAGAGGAAGACCCAGGACACGCTGGAGGGACTATGTTTCTCGGCTGGCCTGGGAACACCTTGGGATTCCCCTGTATGAGCTGGTCCAAGTGACTGGAGAGAGGGAAGTCTGGGTCTCTCTGCTTAGGCTGCTGCCCCCGCGACCCGATCCCGGATAGGTGACAGAAAATGGATGGATGGATGGATGGATGGATGGATGGATAGTTAAAATGCGAGCAGATACATTTTGGACCATCTGTAGACCTCAAAATTTTCCTGGGTAATCCAGAAAGAAGAGTTACAATAATTGAAGCGTGAAGTCAAAAATGCATGGATAAGTACCTCAGCATCATCAAATGAAAGAATATGCCAGATATATGCCAGATATATGCCAGATATTGGCAATGTTCCTAAGATGATAAGAGGCAGATAAGAGTCTGTGACAAGCCATGGAACTTCTGAGGTCCGATAACAATTAAATCAGTCTTGTCTGCTCATTAAAACACTTTAAACATATTTCTTTTTGTGAATTTGTAAGTGCTCTTTTGTCCTGTGACCTCTGCCTTCTTTCCTCTCTGGAAAGTACCAGCCTTACCATGAAGACATCACATGTTTACCCAATAACTGTTCACTCAATAACCTCCCTTGTTTGTTTCTGTAACCGCACCTAATTCCCCATTTTACATGCATTCTACTCTTATGATTAACCTGTTTTTAAACAATCAGCTACTTTTTATTTTGTTATAAACAGGGAGAGACAGGGAGTTTCCAACATACATTTTTCTATCACATTACTTATCACATTTCTTGACACCCATAAACTGAACATCCCATTGAGCTCCATTTAAGCTGTTACTAGTAAATAAAAAGATAATGTCACCACAACAAATCTGCCAACAGAGGGTCATCCACCAAAACTTTAATAACTCAGAGAAACATCCAGGAGATTAAGGAGAACCTGCTGGAGCAGAACAAGTCTTCTGCAGAGATAAGAGGATCTGTCCAAAGGTCCACAGAGTTGGATTTAATAGAGGAGTGTTTGGAAGTTCAAAACAATAAAGTGGACCATGAGAACTTGTAGGTGAATCTTCAAACGGAGGAAAAGTGTTGTGATCAGATAATGTGAAACTGAAATTAAACTTTTTGACCATCAAAGACAAACCAAACCATAACTGGTGCAAACCTCCCTTCTCTCATCATAAGAACATCATCTCTACAGTGAAGCATGGAGGTGGTAGTATCATGATGAGAACATCATCTACAGTGAAGCAGTAGATGATGTTTAAATATTTATTGTTGATGTTGTTTCTGTCAGTTTTGTTTGATTTACTTTTACTAAAGATTTCTAAGTCAGTTGGTTTACTTAGTTAATATTCATGATGATCTCTTAAACGTTTCATAATTTGACTTTAAGGAGGAATTATATAGGATGGATAATTAGAATAGATAATTAAAAGATATGTAAATGTGAAATGGTTGTTAACATATGTATGTTTATTTTTGTCTTTGTTCTGTTATATTGGTTCAATAAAAAATGCCATGTTGGGTGTCACAATTACGACACAGAGGCACAAGTTGATGATGTAATCTGTACCGTCCCAATTCTCTGTTTTTTTGCACACTTGTAACCTGCGCACTCCAACACTATGTGCACTTTGACTGAATCCACAGRGTTGGGACTGGGCCTCTGTCTCAGACAGTTTTCTGTTTGTCTGTCCAGCAGGGGACGCCACCTACCTCGACATCTTCAGGGAGTTTTCCCACATGGCCTCCCACAACCCTGAGAAGCTGAAAAGAAGGAGTTTACACTTCCGTCACTCCTTCAGGTGATGAGCCAAGTGTCTGGAGAGGAGGAAAGGAACGATGCAGGATGTTCAGAGGGGATGCATTGCTTCAGAAAGGATTTTTTATTATTTTGAGGACTTGCTGGTCTTTTCCTCCTGGGTATAAGTAGAAATACATCCTTTTTAAAAAGACTGTTGAAGGAACTGAATGAATATTTTATATGAATCTTTTTTGATGTTTACTGCATGAACTTTGTTCTGTCTTCCACTCAAACATCATTTCAGCTGCTGATGAGCAGCATTACCATTAGTCATCATCAGTGTTCAGTTTCTTCATGTTCACAGTGACTCTAGAGAAGAATCTGGTTATATTTCATCGACTARGCTGGTCTAGTCATCACAATGTGTTCTTTGTGTCAGCACTGTAAGCTGCAGTGTTTATGTCTCAAACATGCTGGTGAATCAAATAAATGTTAATATATCTGATGTCTCTGGATTCTCCCTCTTTCAGATGAATAAACAGTGCCCCCTTGTGATAATGTCATGTTTAGTTTTAGTCTCATCTGACCTCCAAACGTTTGTCCATTTACAAACTCTAATCTGTCCTTATGTTGCTTTGGGAGTCTCGTATTCGTCCTCATGTCCTTTCAGTCCACGTTGGTCCAGGACTGGTTTCCTCTGTAGACCTTGAGTCTTCTCAAGATCTTTTGTTTTAATCTTAAGGTTGATTCAGACATTTTAGACTAAATCCCTTTCATCTCAGGGACACAGAAGTGTCTRCTTCCTGAACAGTTTGATGATATGTGGTCTGTGGGACCTGTCGGACACAAGACCTGGCTGATAAAAAAAGAAGATGCAAGCTAAACAAAATAAAATGGGTTTATTACACACAGCAACTTTGTGTTTAGTTAAAAAAATCAGTCAATCAGAAAAAGAAACTATAAACTGAGTTAACTCATCATGTTTTAAAAAAGAAACAAAACACATTTTCCCCTGCTCCACAGCTCTTCAGTTTCTGCTCTGCTCACTTCAATAAGTTAAAGTTTCAATATAATTTTTTAAACTAAAGCACAAGTTCATCTTCTGTATAACAAACCATGAATCATGTATTGTTTATGTGCTCACTGTCATAGAAATGTTTAAAAAAGGACTTTAAATTGAGGTGAAAAAAAAAGATTGACTGTTTCCTGCAGAAAACCTGGGACAGACAAACATGGCCGACTTCAATTGTTAATTCCAAAGTTTGATTTGATTTATTTATTTAACAGGAAAAGCTTATGAAAAATCAAGCCTGACTCAGCATAATTGCTGTTTTACAGCAGGTTCCTGTTCTGCAGCACATAAAACACTCAGAAATACAGCTTCACAATCACAT